ATTTGTACCCAACATAGGGCTCGAACTCATGACCACAAGATCAAGAGTTGGATGCTCCCCCCACTGAGGCAGCCAGGCGCCCCATCTCTGGGGTTTTCTATCTCTACCTGTCTGCTTCAATCAACTCTTTCAGCCATGTGATCTTAGGAAAGCTTCTTAACTGCTCTGAGCCTGTTTCCTCATCTGTAAAATGGGACTAATAGTTCTAACCAGACTGGTTAACTTAGTGATGGGTACACAGCACATGCTTCACCAGTGTTAGCTGTTAAATAGAGGTTGCTTCTGTCATGGGGCAAATGAGACTAAGAAGCCTCCTGTCAGTATCTGATTAAAGCTGGACCAGATCATTATCTCTCCCAGGATCTGGACGTTTGGAGAGAGTTGGAGGAAAGTCCCTGGAAGGCTCTAGTTTCTGTCTGTGTTTTGACAACTCCCTCCGGGATTCCACGGGCTGCCTCAGTGTCCTTCCCATTAATCCTGTGGCTTTATCCAGCCAAGGGCAACTACCAGGTCGACGTAACCCCAGCCCTGACCTCTGGCAAGCGTCCGTGCTGCATCCAGGGAGAGGAAATCTGGCCAGTTTGGGTCAGGCATACACTTCTGGGCCAATCAATCATGTCTGGCCAGGGGTGGAAGCTTCTAGTCTGTGAAGCTGTCCACTGAGTGCCTTACTCTGAGCCAGTCACTGTTCCACGTGCTGGGGAGACAGCCAGGAACAAGAGAAGCTAGGCCTCAGGAGCTGATGTTCTAGTGGGCGAGAGCTGTGTTAGGCTCCTGTCGCCGCTGCAACAAAGTTTTAACGGCTTAAGCACAAGTGTTTGATCTTAACAGCCCTGGGTGTCGAAGTCTGAAAATGGGCCTCACCAAACTAAACTCAGGGTGTCAACAGCGCTGCGTTCCTGACTGGAGCTCAAGGGAAGAATGTTCTCCCTGCTTTTTCTTTGGCACGTGACCCTGTGCTGCTCTTTGTAGCCCCCCAATCCATGATCGTCTCCCCACCTCAAGACAAGTCCTGTCTGCAGAGGCCCGTTGGCCATGTGAGGTAACATTGAGAGGTTCCACTGGACATCTTTTTTTTTTTTTTTTT